CCTTTGGAGTCTTCTCAACTTTTATGTCTTCTTTTTGAGATTTCTTTTCCTCTGTATGTATTTGTACTTGTATTGTTTCTTTCAGAATTTGGCTGTCTTCTGTGGTAGCAGGAGTTTCCTTTTCTTTTTCCTCATGTTCTAAAATAATCAGAACATTTATTATTTAATTTTAGGTTTTATTATTGAAGATTCTACATAAATAATTTAAATATCTAGACTGTACATGCCTGATACTCATACTTTATTTTTTCATTTTTCCAAATTTCTGTTAACTCCTTTAAATCAAACCAAACTTTTATGGTTTTAGGTCAGTTAAGATTTTTTTTTAATTATAAGTTTTTTATTTATATCTTATCATTTCCTTTCTTCTAATTAAGAAGTTTGCATATATTTTGTTTACAATTTGCTTTTTATCTTGCATGACACAGTATCAGAATTGTTTTTTATTCTTCCCCAAACCTCTCTCAGTCAGTTTTCTGGACTTTTTGTTCATTATTTCTGACATAACTGAAAAAAATGGGTCAGGATAGCATCATGTCTTAATTGCACAGACCTTTGGATGTGTACTCTGTCATAAAAATCCCCAGTTCCATTTGAATTAAACAGCATAATGCTGCCACTACCAAGTTTTTGTGTCGGGTCATGTACCTTGTGGACTTGTGGCCCAAAACTTTAAATTTGGTTTCTACAGATCATAACGCATCTTTTTGATATTTTTAACCAAGCCACAAGACCTCACATCCATACTGCTTAGCCAAAACATACACACAAACATCAACTTCAGTGAGGCTCATTTGTCACTGTTGGGTCTTGGTCACATTATGATGTATTGTTGGAGAACAATCAATAAACCATTGAAATATGTCAGCAAAATGGGTACAATCAACAAAACCACAGTCATTTATCACATCAAACATTTTTGATAACCTCGGTGGAAATAAAAACCAAGTATTTGTGATGATAATACCTGTCTCAAATTGGCCAGCGGGTTCTTTTGGTGATATTTTGTAGCCAGCTTTCTTCAGCCTCTCAAAGGGAACACGAGTCTTCCTCTTTTGTTCAGGTTCTGCCTTTTTGCTCTCGCTGTTATTATTGTTTTCATCGTGATCATGCTTCAGTTCTGCATAATCTTCGTCCGTGTAATCAGGAGATGTTCCTACTTTTTCCTCTTCCTGTTCGCCCGACTCGGATACAGCAGAGTCATTGACAGGAGTTTTGGAAAGCACAAGTTCTGGTTGTTGAACTAATGACTGTTTTTCCAAATCTTCATCAGCAGCTTCATACTGAGCTTTGTCGTCTTCCCCCTCACTGTCAATCAGTTCCTCTTCAGCTGTGGAGTCCTCCTCTTCCTCCTGATCTTGTTCCCTGCCTTCAATTTTTATTTCCTCTAATTCTTCCTTCTCCTCAGTTTCCTCCTTACTCTCTACCAAAACCTCAAAAGTTTCAGGTTCCTCCTCGCCTTTATCTTCTATTGTTGCTTCAATTTTTGATTTTTCCTCTTCCTCTTGTTCTGCTAACTCTCCCTCTGTTGTTGGCGTCTCCTTTTCTTCTTCTTCTTCTTCTACTAAGATATCGTCTGTTTTAACTTCTCCCTCCTCTTGTTCTTGTCCTGTTTTTGAAGTCTCGTCTTCCACCTCATGCGCCAGTTGTTCTTCATCTTCCTTTGGTGTAACCTCATCCACCATCTCTGTTTCCTCCTCAACTCCAACATCGATGATTTCCTCTTCCAGCGAAGACTCAAGTTGGATTTCTTCTGTATGTTTCACTAATAGAGTGATAGCATCAAATTTAGTGATTGGTCTTCAGTTTGGTGAATGTGTGACCGAATAAACGTCTGAATACCCTCATCTTCCTCTGCTTTGGCCACTCCTGCTTCGTCGGCAGCTCCGGTGGCCTTTTCAGCCTCAGCCTCCTCTGCAGCAGAAGCAGCTTCATCTTCGATGGCATGCATCATCTCTGCAACTGTATCAGGGACTTTTGTAATCACCACCAAACCCATGTCCACACCTTTGCTAATTTACATGAAGATAAAATAGTCTTTAGGGTGAAAAAGAGTGGAAATAGCAGAAATACCCAAGATGATAGTATTAGAGACTTTTTTTTTTTTGACTGATGCACAGATCAAATCAAATACTCAAATCCAGTTAATAAAACCCAAATATTTACAGTAGAGTTAAGCATGTAAATATTTGGGCACTGTTTTTATTTATTTTAGATAAAAAGAAATATTTAACCTTTATGACCTCTGTACATGGAGAACCTCCCAACTGAACCTGAATCTACAAAAAAATGTCGTTCTGTTAACCCAAAAGCTAAACACCGTTAATATCAGACAGATATAACCTGGGTAAATACAAAATGCAGCTTTAAAAAAAAAAAAAAAACTACTGAAATTGTTTAAATTGCTCTGGTGTTCAAACGTGCCTCACTTAAGGTCAGAGTTCATGTGGGGAACTCTGACCTCACTGTGGGAAAGTTTCAAGGCCAAAACCACTGCTGACCCAAAAGAACATAAATGCCTTGTTGGAAACTAAAACAAATGAAGACTTTTAAGTGATTTAGCCCAAGTCTGCACTTAAGTGCAAGCAAAATGCTTTTGGCTGCTGTATTCCCTTAACTCATCATTAAAAAACTGCATTTAGTATTGACCCAAGCTGATTCCGTTTGACAGTAAAAATTTGTTTCATTCACTGTGTATGTGTTCAAATATTTCCATTCATATTATACAAGGATGTCTCTATAAATAGCTGAGATAAAGTTTACATTTAGTCACACAGAAAATGCAGGACGCAGAAAATGCAATATTGATTATTTTTTTTAGGTTCCCATATGCATTCATACAAAGACAATGTTCTTTAAGGATCAACACAAGATAATCGTAGTCATAACAACAACAACAAAAATCATGTAGTTTTGTGAAAGGTTACAACAAATTGTGATAACAGAAAATGAAGTCAGTATTGTGTAACATATTTATTATGACAAACATTATGATGCATATTCAGTCATGCCAGGACAGGTACAAAACGTAAACCAACAAACCGTTTACAATGTTTTAAGGCTGGTGTGTGAAATAAACATTAACAAAGTCAATAACGAAGACCACATCATCAACCCGGTTAATTGTGGTAAAAAAAAAAGAAAAAGAAATGCAATTACTACCAACATGCCACAGAGGTCTTTAGTTAATCTGTAGAGAAACCAATCTACCTGCTAACATAAATAAAATACAATCATATGTTCCCAGCATGGAGACTTTTTCTCACCTTTTTCAGGTGGAGGTAGAAACTCCCCTACAACAAGAAGATATGGCTGTTTTTAGAGTCGAGCATTAGTGTCTTTTTGCAGCAACATGCGGGAAAATTATTGTATTGCTTACCTTTCTTTCTCACCAGAGTGATATCAGATGGAGAAACAACAGCTTCATCTAAACAAAGAGGAGCAGAGATTTTTGGTTTTGAGCTTTCTACACCACAGAGTATTGTAATAAGCTCTAAAGTGTCATATTGCATCGTAATACATCGTATCGTATCATATCGAAATGCGTAACAACTATATTCTGACAACTTGCAAGATCGAAAATCCAAACCTTTTTCAGTGACAACATTTACGGTGAGAGGACTGACAGGTTCACCTAAAATCAGATAAATTAATAGTGATCAGATTTCAGAGTATCATAATGTTTTGTGATTCACAGTAATTGCTGAAAGCCCCACCTTGATCACCACCAATCATACTTGACATGTAGCCCAGGAACAAATCCTTCTTGTCGGTAAATTCCAGTACCGCATCCTCAACAACTTTCATCGGGTCCACGGAAACGTCCGGAATGATCGCTGGAAGAACCAGAACATGTTTCTGTGTGAAGGACGCACTAAACGTGCAGAACCGCTCTCTGAACGCATTATGTTACAATGACTCACTTTGTTCACCTATCAGTGTTGTAGAGAGGTAGCTCATAATAATGTTGATATGTTCTTTAATGATTTCTGCTGTTTTCTGCAGAGCTGATAAGGGGCTGAATCCCACAGCCTCCTGGAGGTCTGATAAAAATAAGTACATCAAAATGGAGCCAGAGCGTTCAATGGAATGTGAAATTTAGATATAAGGTAATAAATCTAGGTGGCATTGTACCTTTCACTGTGTCCAGTACCACATCCAAGATCGCGCAAAGCACATTCTGGATGTATCCTGTGATGCTATTCACAAATTCATCAAGAATATGGAAGATGTTTCTGCCGATCACCACAGGGTCAATAAAGCTGATGTCAATGGTTCCTGTGAAGAGTAATAAATGTATAATACTTATTATTATGCATTTGTGTCGTTGTGGAGGCAATAATTAGAACTTAATGATGCTGCCACCAAAGTTAACTGATAAAAATAATACCTTAAACATAATCTCAAATTCAACGTATTTCAGCTTTTACCAGCATTTACAGAAAAAAACTGACTTTATTAAATTGCGTGAAAAGTATAAAATGAAATAAAATAAAACACATTTTCTAAGTTTAAGTTTATTTCAGACTGACATCCTACAATTAAGACATGACGTAATCATGTATTTGCATTTTGAAAGAAAAGGAAACAGAAAAAACGACTTTGATAAAACATATGAAACATAAATTATTAATCTGTAGTTACAATTGGCACAAAAAAATAAACAGGAAAATAGGAAGGCCTCACCCTTAGAGATATCCAATATGATATCAAATAAAGCACAAAATATGTCCTGAATGCAGCCCACTAATCCATTCACAGCATCATTTATGATATTGAAGAATTTCCTGCCCAGGACCACGGGGTCGGCATAGCTGATGTCGATTGTTCCTGAGAAGAGCAAGACAAACTTCAGTCAAGTGACGCCATAAAAGGTTTTTAGTTTTACATAAATTTGAAGATGAAAAAGTTGTACTGAAGGGAATCAAGAGACCAGGAAAAAGGACTTTTTTTTTTTTTTTTTTTCCTGTGCTTCTTAAAATGCACAACTCTGCTTTGCGGGAACAGCTCATCACGTTTTAGCTGAATTAAATAGACATCTGATTTTAAAGTCAGTGATGAGTTTTACTTATGTAAAAGAGAATTTAGTACAATTGGTTTAAATAGATAAAGAACCTCGAGATTACATCTCATGTGCATTTGCACTATATAAATAACTTGAACTTACATTTTTTATTTAGATTTTTCACATCGTAATTTGAGTCTCGCACAATAGACAAAGAAGGAAATGAGATGTGGTACCTTTAGATACATCCAGCACGGTGTCTAAGACGGCACACAGTATGTCCTGGACGTAGCCTGTTATTCCACCAACAGTGTCATTTATAGCACTGAAAAATGTCCTGCCAAGTACTACGGGATCGATGAAGCTAATGTCAGTGGTTCCTGAAAAACACAAACGTGGTATTAAAAGAGAATCCCGCTTCACGGTGTAGTGGGCAATGCAAACTATGTGAGATGCAGTCATGTGAAGAATCTGGAAAGCGCGTAAAATATTCAGTTCATCGTTAAGAAATGTCTGATCTTCTTGAATTCCTAACCATAAACTGTGCTTTTTAAAATAATGTTTTATTAATAAGTAACAGGGTTATCATAGGGTGCCCTAATTTTTCCCAGCATGACCACAGCTGTTCTCAGACGGCACCTTTCACTACATCCAATGTGGAGTCCACGAGGAGGCAGAGCGAACTCTGGATGAAGGCCCCCACTTCGGAAACAAAGTTGTTAATAACACTGAAGAACCCTCTGCCAATTATCACAGGGTCAATGTAGCTGAGGTCAAGTTTTCCTGAGGAGAAGACAAAGGATTTGGGAGAAACAAATCCAAAATTAGCTCAAGTAGGCTTTTGTTGCAAGAATTTCGAAAGACTGATTATGTTTTATTTAATTATAATACAATTAGACACTATTTCACACACCTTTTTTTATATCCAAAACTGCATCCGTTACAGTATCCACAGTGGCACACAGTGAGTCCCTGAAGGAGCCAACCACGCCATACACAAAGTCGTTGGTTGAGTGGAAAGCTCTTCTTCCAATGACCACGGGATCGATGTAGCTTGGATAAAAGGTTCCTGTGATGTACGATGCAGGCACATTACGTTAGTCTTACATTTTATTTCATTTGTTTTGTTGACTACAGGTGCATTGGCATACCTTCTTCATCTGAAAAGTATCGAACAAATGCATCTTTTGCTTCTATAACCTCTTCAGCAGCGTAAGACGCAGCAGACGAGGGGCTACTTAAATCAGGAGCACATTCT